CTGGCTCATGCCATTCAGTGTGGCCAACTGGAAATTATTGCGATTCGGTAGAACCACCACTGCGCCTCGGAGGATGTATTACCTAAATCATACGCCGCTGCCAGAGGTAGAGGCTCAGGAGGATCTGGGGGTGTGGTTCACGCCTTCACTGCCTGGAGGTGGCCAAATCCGCAGCTGTATCTAATCAAGCGCACCTTTGCTTAGTTGTATAACGTAGTCGTTGGCAGGATTTTCGGCACGTTCGTGCGACCCCAAATGGAATTTGTCATCCAAACCTGGAGACCTTGGAAAGCCAAATACCGAATAACCGTTGAAAGGGTATAAAGAAGGGAAATAAAATTAATACGAGGCCAACGGAACCTCCCTTTTAAGACTCGTCTCGTAAATCTTGACTTACTACCTCTGGATTACAAACAACTACGCTGCGACCTATTACAGGCGTTCCGCATGCTGAGCGGTCAGGACTGTTGCCTCAAAACAACTGACTCTTTTGAGCAGGCCACCACCTCTATGTTGCGAGGACATCCTCTCAAATTACATGTGACTGGGGCAAGAACTGAACCAAGAAAATTATTTTTCTCTAAGAGGGTAATTCAGACATGGAATGCCCTTCTGCAGACATTGTCATTTCCCCATCCGTGGACACCTTTAAGAAAAAGCTTGATCAGCACCGCCTTACGTGCCACCATGGCAACTGAGTTCCCCGAAACCAAACATTGCAAAGTCATGTAAATGCCATCAATACATACTAATCGGATTTTAAAGAAGTATTACTATTATTTGAGCAAAATATATTTCCACCGTATTTAGCCCATATCCGCACATTTCTTCTCACTATGCGAACTGCGCTGATCATGTCTGCATCTACCGCACCTATGGTCCTAGGCTACGCGGCCTTTTCACGCTCTTTCTCGTATCGGCCTAACAACGGCCTGCTGACAGCGTAGCGGGTTCCTCTGCTCTTGTCACAACAAGAGCGTATCACGGTCGCATCTTCAGTTCTGGGGGACGTTCACGTGACTCTGAGGTCTCCTCTTCGTGTGGTCCTTCGGATATAGATATTACTCGTCATGGTCCTGATAGCTGCCGCCAGCATTCACAGCAGCATGCTGGTCTAATCTTTCACATACTTTCGCCCAAGAGCGACAGTTTTTCTCCTAAAAACTACAAATGACATTCCATTTTTGAATTATGAGCCATGCCTTGGGAGTTTTTTCACTGTCTGCTCTTTTTACTCATTTACACCTGCTGGGTCGTGTTAACTGACATCACATGTGATGTATTACTTGAAACAAGCGAGTAGTCGCCCACCATTATGTAAATGGCTTCTTTGAAATGTTCCGATGTGTCGATGAATTTTTAAATACCATGTACTAATTGGAAGTTCAAAGGCGTTTGCCTATATTGCCTTCGGTAAACTTCACTTGACTTGATGCAAAAAATAGCGAAAATTCAATAAAAGTGGTACAAAAATTGTGAGACACGTTCTACCAATACGAAAAGAAGTCGCAATAGACTTATCGTAAGACAGTGCGGGTGGAACGGTATCATGCGGGGGTCAGGAAAGTTAAGATAGCCTGGTCAGTCGATTCAAACATATATGGTTCAGGGTGGTTCGTTACATACGTAGAATATGAGATGCTGCCTAAGCACAAGTTTCGTTTTTTTCAAAGGAAAGATGGCGGTTTCTGTAAGCACACAGACTAAGGGCTTAGTTCTTCGTCTTCCATGCATGTGAATTATTTAGAGAACGCATTTATTTTTCATAGGAACTACCCTAATAGCAATGTTCAAGTACCAAAGGATAGAATGGTCCCAGTCGAACCAAAGGATAGAGGCTAATAGGCCCTTATAGCCTTTGGTACTAGTGCGGTAGTCGCCCCTTACCCCCAACCCTTCCATCCACTACCCCCCACACCCCTATTAGAACGCATTTAGTGTGATATGAATACGGGTTTTTAGCCCTAGGCATACGCCGGCAAAAGTTGCCAAAGCAAGACATCGATCCAGGCG